ATTTTTAACTATCTTAATATTTTAAAATTTAAAAAAATAAAAAATATGTCTATTATCCTGCTTTTAGTATTGCAGTTAATTAATATATATTTTATGTTTAAATTCTTACAACGGGGTGGAACATCATCAACACACAAAGAAGGATGAGCAAGAGATTGGTTTCTTTTAGTTTTATCCTATTTACTTGAAATCAGCTATAATGATGAGTCTTTTCTCCTCACAATCCTCCATTTMACCAAAATATATTACTACTCAATTATAATATTATGATTTATGTTTATGATGATAGTTATATTAAAATAATATAATTGAGTATCTTGAATATTTATGCTTCAATATATAACAAATAATAGGCTAGGTTAATGACATCTATTTTCCAAAGTTAGAATATAAATATAATATATTCGTAACATATTATGTTTGTATTAATAATATCTAACCTCACAAAATTATTTGCTATTCATGAAAAATAATGTCATCCACGTAAATTTTATTATCTACAATATTGAGCACGTCTGTTTCTATATAATAGTTTWAAAAAAAATGGAAGTTATTTTTTGGTAGTTTAAAAATAGTATTATATATTATGTTAATATTGATTTAGATCGAACGACTTTTAGGAAACAATTAGTATAGATTACCAATAGTATACTTGCATTATTATGGTGGCTTCTGTTTAATAGTCACTTTGGCAATTGAAAGTTTAGGTCATTGAGATTGATGGTGAAGTAGGCCAAGTGCTTCTCTAGCATCAGACTGAGTCAAAACAATACTTTCATTTTCACCTCTAGAATCATCTATTGGTTCTAGTTTAGTAATWACTACTTGATGGTGTTCCACATGTGGTGGAGATGGACTTTGATGTTGTTGTCCTACAGCCTCAATGATCATCTCTTGTTGGGCTATATTTGGACTATTTGGTTGCTGTTGTTGTTGTTGTTGTTGTTGCTGCTGCTGCTGCTGCTGCTGTTGTTGTTGTTGCTGCTGTTGAATCTGCTGCTGCTGTTGCTGAATTTGCTGCTGCTGTAGTATAATCAACTCCTGTTCAGTAAGTTTTTGGTTTCCTTTAGTGATGACAATTTGATGATCACTTGGAGGGGAAGGGCTTTCGTTTCTTCCGCTAGCAACAGCATCAATTATCATTTCTTGGTGGGCCAAGTTAATGATTGGTCCTGAATGGCTTTGATTTTGGATAAGTTCCGGGACGGACATTTTTTGGCGATCTGACACTGTTACTTGTTCTGCCATTTGTTGAAGAGCTGCATGTTCTTCTTTTAAACGTTTAGTAATGTGGCTTTGAGTATGTTTTCTTAAGTGATCTCTCCGGTAGAAACCTTTACCACAATCCTGACATACTTCAGTCTTTACGCCTGAGTGGATCACAGCATGTAAATTTAAATGTTCTTTTCTTTTAAAACCTAAATTAGAAGAAATTTTAATATTTAATATGGTAAATTATAAATGTGTATTTATTTAAGAATGACAGATTGTAAAAACAAAGATTTACCTTTACAACAAACATTACAAACAAATGGACGTTCTGGATTATGACCTAACTTATGTCGCTCAAGATGTTCTTTTCGTTTAAGTCCAGCACCACACAAGTCACATATAAATCTTCTTTCTATTTTATGGGCAACTAAATGTTGTTCAAGCATTTCTTTATCGGGGTACGCCATGCTACATTCTGGACAACAAAACAGAAGGGTACCATCTAAAGCAGTTGCAATATGTATTTGACCCGGTCTTGGTTTTCGAGCAGCTGGTGGTTTCTTTTTGTATTTTTTTTTTCTTTTRCCCTTTTCCTAAAAATCAAAARATATTATCTAGAATTAGATTACTATATMTAGATAAAACTATGCTTTGGACATGAATTTTAGTAAAATAATTAAAAAAAATTACTAAGTAATAGAGATTTTCACAAAATTGTAAACATTAATGAAGGACTGTCGAATCGACAATTGTCTAAAAGTTCCCTATGATTTGTTTTAAGTGAGACACATTAAGTTTTTAAAYATTTATAAATAAAAGAGAAAAGATATAATACATGTATAAATTCAAATACATATGATACATTAATTGCCATGTAACTAACTACAATGCACAGTAATATTTAAATTTAGTTTTATCTTTAGATCATATATTATGAATGGAGTCACAGCGCATTATACCAACACAAAAATTTATGCCAATATCAATGATGAGTTACCGAATTAGGGGTTTGATATGCACATGAGCAATGCAATTTGTCGCTTATTTATCCACATGTTATACTATTATATTACAACCTTAAGTACGGTTTATGGATAATTARGTGATGAAATCGCACATGCGCATATCAAACACCTAATTCAGAGACTCGTCACTAATATTGGCATCAAAAAAATAYGCTGTATCTTCATCTATAGTATATGATCTAAAGATTTATCATTGACCATTGCTATGATGGTAAGATGATTATAAATGTCCTGTGACATTCACTACAATGATTTGAGACTAAGTGTATTGAACAATGAGGTTACAAGGGGTGTTATCAGTATAAAAATATCAAAATTGCTATAAAATAAATGATAATACCCCTTACTAAAGTAAGAGCACTATATAAAAAGCAATCTGTCTCTCATCCACATTCCGGCCCGCAAACCCCAATGTTGTTAATATAGGATTGGCCCATCCATTATTTTATTATCTATGGTTATGTGTCATCAAAATTTAAACCTTTTTCAAAATGTGTTATACAATGAAAAGTATGAAAATCTCTGATCTATGTATCAATTTTGAACACCAAAAAATGTAATAATTAATTAAATTCATAAWTACCCCACTATTGGTATCTTCGTAAACTACCATTTCATTAGTGCCATCATCTTGGTTACCAGATGATTCCATATTTTCTCTTTTATTATTATCAGGTGAAAATTTTAAAAAATGTCCAAGAGGTATATTATCATGATTCAAAGATATAAAATCAGCCAATGAAACAGAATTATTTGAATTAGATGAGTAAGCCATAACATATTGATTTGCTGMAAATAAATTTAATTGTTAATTTTTAATTGAAAAAATTATACTTGGATATTATTATCATTTACATGAATCTTGTTCATTTTGAATTCTTAATCGTTTGTCCGCCTGATTATCTTTTTGATCGCCAATTACTTTGTTGTCTTGCTGATTACGCCGCACAACCATGTCTTGATTCACCACTACTGCCAATGGAAATGGTAAGCCATTACTATCTGTGCCACTTTGTTCGATAATTACTGGTTTAACATCTTGTATCATATCCTAATATATTAAAAAATATATATCATATTAATACATATAATTAATAACTATTTACTACTTATAAACTACTATTACAGATAACTAGGGTCCGGATTAATACCCTCTAAAAAACTACAAATATTTTGTTTATATTTACTTAAAAATATAGAAGAATTTGAAAAWTGTTATGAAAAACATTAAATTATTTTTATTATTCGTTGAATATATTATAATTATTAATTATACATATGCCCGGTTTTCTAATCTAATTTATTGGTCGAATAACCAAAGTTATTTTCTGGATAGTAAAAATATGTTATTCTTAAATATTTCAATGTCAGAATAAGTCTTATTTAAGGAATAAATCATAAATAAGTTATTGTTATTTGGAACTTTTTCTACGGAATAAAACTTTTATTTGACTAATAATTAGGTACCAAATAATATGAGTAACAGCAATATATTTTATAATCAATGATTATAGTTTTTTATAATAATATTTAATATTTAATTTGTTATGTCATCTCTTCTGTCCTGTATTCGTCACAAATATTCTCAAAACTTAATTATGATAGTTGAATTAATGATATTGCCAATAATGAAATCGTCAAGTTTTTGAATTATCAACGACACAATTTGAGTAAGAATTGATCATATAGTTTTAAGATGATGAAGACTTTGAAGTTAGATTTAGAATTTCAAAAAGATGTGGTTATTTAAGCTTTAAGATATATAAATGAGTTAATATCTTCACAATCATATGGGTAATATTTATAGTTGGTATACAGACTTTTATTCTGTAATTTGTAAATGTTAAAATTATTTTAGAAATCATGCCGTAACATCCATAAACAAACTGCTTTTAACTCTACGATTTTATGCTACTGGAAATCTTCTAATAAATACTGGAGATTTTTAGGGAGTAAGCAAAACAGTTAATTTATTTGTAAAGGAATATATATATATTAGTATATTATTCATAGCAGTAAATGGATTTATGAATTGTAAGTAATTACTTGATCCTCTTGGACATCTTGCAATAAATCTGACGATTGCATTGAATCATTGTTGTTGTTATGTATTTGGTCATTTGAAACATCACCTTCTTGCTGTAACTAATTCAATACAAAAATATAAACAAAACATTTAAAATTGCTAAAATTAAAGATGAGTGATGCTTTGAATTCAAATGTAAATTATTGGTTTTCAAGCTATGACCAATTCTAATAAAAATTTGTGATGTAAAATAACTAAATTTTATGAATTTGTTAAAGTAAAAAAAAGATTTGCATAAATAGATGAAAAATACCATCTGTGAATCCATCATCAAACATTTAGGTTTTTAACAACTAAAATATTTATGGGAAAAAAATTATGATTTTATTTTCACATTATTATTTATGATAACTAACTTGAAGTTGAATGGTTCCATTGTCTTGTTGTTGGTTATACGCTAGTTGTAATACTGGTCCAAAAACAGGCAAGAGTTTATCACCTGATATACCACCTTGCCCAACTACTTGAATTTGTATAGTTTGGCTTTGTTCTCCAGGCTTAGAACCAGGAACAGTTATAGGAATAGTAAATATCTAAAGACAAAGTAAAATACTATGAATTAATTAAGAAAAAATATAAAATAAAATAACATACTTGTCCTTGTTGGTTAGATGATCCAACTCCAGCTAGATTTACTGCAAAACCGTTTGAATCTAGTGGTCTYAAGTAAGTCACACCTGCTTCATCACTGTTTAACAGTGCAACAACTTGTCCACTAGTATTAGAAGTATTAACTACTGTATTAGAGTTAGATGTATCAGTTTGTTGTTGAACATTTKTATATTTGTTTCCTGTATTCACTTGAGTCATATTTGCACTCGAACAGGTGTTAAATGAAGTTGCCGGCGCAGCGGTCACAAATGTAGGATAACTTCCAGTATTCATACTTCAATCTAAAATAAAAAATGTAACTATTAATAAATGTAAGATAAATAAACATTTAAACAAATGGTATTGTAATGAAAATAAATAAGATTTATGATAAAACTAATTTGAAGATAAGTGCATATTTTCTTTATTAATATCATTATTAAAAAGTTGAAAAATCTAAACCATATCARGAATTCAAATGTTGAAAAAAAAAATTTATTGGGGGGTTGAGGCTTCGACAACAAAGGCCATTAGCCTATGGAACAGTTGGTTTAGAACTCTGATGTTTTTAATTAATTATTTTTTTTTTTTTTTGAAAAAATTATACTTCCAATTAACATAAATTATCTATGATGAACAAAAGAATTTTGGTAGAAGTACTAACTAACGCTATTATAAATCAATTTTTCCTAAACTTTAAATTCAACAATTCGACAACACAAATTCAACAAAATAGTTTTGTAGTAACACGTATAAGACAGATTTTTAACAAATAAAAATACCAAAGTACACATAATATGTACTGTTTAAAACAATMAAATTCATGTTACTTGTTGTCATCATGCATATTAAGAAAAAATCTGTTACACCTAATGTTTTTGAATATTAAAATATTATTATTAAATTCTTTGATATATCCAAAAGAAATAGTCCTTTACTTCAAATTATAAAATACTTCATAAAATAAAATAAAATGGCTACCTATTTTTAAATAAATGTTTTTTAATTAGTTATTATATGA